CCTTTCCTCTCCATTCCCACTGCCACCAGTCCAGTTCACACCATCCACCCCATATACTTGCTTCATCATCACAGCCTGCTGAGTCTGCTGCCTCCAGCTCCTTGCTCCTCTCTTTTATCCATTTATTAAATTAATTTTCAAAATCCCATTTGATGCCATACCCCTTATTCAACATTTTTAAAGAACTCTTTGTGAGAGATCACTGATTTTGATTGAAAAACTGTTGAGTTTTTATATGGAAAATGCTGGCGGTGCTGCCCCGAACTCTTTTCTCATTTGATGCAACCTAATGACGCCAGGTTCAAAGGGAGGAACCTACCACTAGCAAAGGTCCAGGTAACAGTTCTTTTTTTCTTTAAATTTTTTTGGAAAAAAAGATAGATAGTCATGAGAAACTACTATTCACTGCTACATCCCCAACTTCCAGAGTAGTACCTGGGACATAATATAAGTGATCAATATATATATGAGAAACAAGTGGATATATGCTGGGGAGTGTATGTGAAATCTCCTTCCTATTTAAGCCAAATTTGTTGGAATAAAAACCCACAGGGAATAGAAGGTTGCAGGGAGTAGCAAATTCTGTCCTAAGAAAAACTGGTCAGTGAAGAGCTGCAGAGTGAGAAGACTTAGTGATCAATTGATATAGTGATCAAATGTGATAAAGAAGAAACTTAATATCTTGTCTCTGATACAATGTACAGCAAAGTCTAATGAGGCAGTCAGAGAACTAGGCTAGGAATGAATTGTCTTCAATGAACTTTTTAGTGCCTTTTTAGAAAGTTGCTCTTAAATCCTCAGGTATCAGGGCAAAGATGAGCCTTACAAGACTTTAGCCTCAAAAAAGTTAAGGTCATTTCTACTTAGGCTTCAGCAACTACAAGAGTTCACATTTAAACCTGCTGTACTACTTATTTACTGCCATGGAATAAATAACCCCCAAGCCGGGCAGCTTAAAACAATACACACTTAGCACTCGCACATCCTCTGGGTTAGGAATCTGAGTGTGGCTTAACTAAGTGACTGGCTTAGGGTCTCACAATCATCAGGGTGTTGGCTGGGTTGCAGTTATCTCAAGGCTGATCTGGGAGAATATCCTCTTCCAAGGTCACGCACGGGGCTGTGGACAGGCCTCAGGTACTCACTGACACTTGATCAGAGACACCAGTTCCTTGCCATGTGGGCCTTTGCACAGAACACCTCACCCAGCACAGAGCTAACTTCCATCAGAGAGAGCAAGTGAGAGGATGAGAAAGAGCCTGAGGTCTGCCAACATTCACTGGTCTTACCATATTCCCCATTATCCTTAAGCAGCGGGCTTCATAAAGTGGTGAAGTAACTTTCTGAAGACTCAGTTATGGTGTCTGCTTAGGTGACAACACCCTGTGGGGCTGAGATAATGTACTCCAGGGTGTTGTATGTACCCTAAATCAGCATTTAAAACATGTGGTATTTCTCCCAGGTCTGGGAATGAAGGGATGGAAATGGGACTGGCTTCTCTTCTTAGTACTCTCAGTGACCTACTAACAAAACTGTTGCCTCCCATTCCTATGATTTTAGGCTCTGTTGATCTAAAGGTCTTAGTTCCATAGGGAGGAAGGCTTCTATTAAGTGACACAACAATGATTCCATTGAGCTCAAAACTGAGACTGTCATCTTGCCACTTTGGGCTCCTTATACCACTGAATTAACAAGGAATGGAATAGTGTTACTATATTGGCTGGTGTGATTGATCCTGATAACCAAGGGATAATTGAGTTGCTACTACACAATGGGGATAAAGAGGAGTGTGTCTGCAATGCAGGAAATCATCGAGGACACCTGTTAGTACTTCCTGTGATTAATGTCAATAGAAAACTACAACCTACTCTAACTCAGGAAGGATGGCTAATGGCCCAACTGCCTCAGGAATGAAGGTATGGGTCAGCCTACCAGGCAAGAACTATGACCAGTTGAGGTGCTTGTTAAGAATAAAGGGAATATAGAATGAAGGTAGTTACAAATACCAGCTACAACTACATGGCCAGTTACAAAAATGAGCAATGTAATAGCTATAGGTATTTCTTCCTTATTTTGATTTGAATATATATATTAAATTATTTTTGTTTTCCTCTCCTCTCTTATTTCCTTATCATCTCATGTAATATGTATCAACAAGTAATTAGCTTTATCTCTCAGTATTTAAATTACAGCATACAAAAGGTGAGAGGAATGGACATAAGCCAAGAACAATAAAGGGGCTTTGTATCCGTTTTTTCTTTTTACAGATTTTCTTTATTTATTCATGAGATACAGAGGGAGAGAGGCAGGCAGAGGCAGAGGGAGAAGCAGGCTCCCCACGGAGCAGGGAGCCCGATGTGGGGCTCGATCCCAGGACCCCGGGATGACCCCAGCTGAAGGCATCCGCTTAACCGACTGAGCCACCCAGGCGCCTGCTTTGTATCCTTTTCCGAGGAAAGGGTTAGTGTGTTTTCATTTGTACATGGGATACTTGTATCACATGAAGTAGAAGCCTGACTTCATTAATGTCTTTATTTGTAGACTGAGTTTGGTTTAAGGCGATGTATGTAACTGCCAAGTTGAGAAGGGGTGAACTGTGTAGGCTCTGTAATGTGTCAGTTGGCCTAGGTTGAACTATATTTCCCAGAATTCTTTTTCAAGCCATGTTTCTGATTAAGATGATACATAAAGGAAATTTCTGTGGGACATGTGGAGGGCTAAAGTAAAGCAGTAGCTATTTCTAGCTCATGCACGCTGTTGTTTATCTGCTAGCTCACCTTGTGGCATGAGGCAGTGGCCAGGAATGCACCTGTTCCACCATCCTCTGAATTCCCCCTCAGCATCTCTGACTCCTGGGCCAGGTATGTGTGTGGTTAACTCCATGATAAAGGACACTGGCTTCTATAGGACATCCACACCACCAAGGACAGAAGCAAAAAGAACTGACATGAGTTTAAGTCCATCCTCACGGGCTCCAGTCCATGTTCATGGGGTCTAATTCATTCATCCATCTCCCCCTAACAAACGTCTGCTCGGTAGTTCCAAGCTCCAGCATTCTTACAAAGCCTGCTTCACTAGCTCTGGTCAAATCCCAGGTCAAATCCTTTTAACAAATCCTTTACTATATATAGTCAATCCTCTTACTTAGAGATTCCATATTTGTGAACTCGCCTACTTACTAAAATTTATTTGTAACCCCCAAAATCAATACTCAGGGTGCTTTTTGTGGTCATTTACAGATACGCACATGTGCAGAGTGGTGAAAAATTGGAGTTGCCTAACATGCATTCCTAACTAAGGTCAAATAAGGCCATGCTTTACCTTCTTGTTTCTGTTCTCACACTGTAAACAAGTGTCCTTTTCGCAGACTATTTAGTGCCATGTTCTTCACATTTTTGTTTTGTTTTGTTTTGTTTTTTACGATATCACTGTTTGAAATGGCCCCCAAGTGTAGTGCTGAAGCGTCGTCTAGTGTACGTAAGCACTAAGCACTAGTGTTCCTAAGAAGACTGTGATGTGTCTTACGGAGAAAATAAATGTGTTAGACAAGCTTCATTCAGGCATGAATTACAGTGCCGTTGGCTGTGAGTTCCATGTTAGTGAATCAACAAAGTATATTAAATAAGGTGTCTTTAAATAGAGTCGTTCAGTTCATAAAGCAAGATTATATATTGGTTGATTGATGAAAACATTGTGACCAGATGCTTGTAGGAACCTAACCCTGTATATCCCCAGGAGTAATGATTCAATACTCACTAATTCAGCATTCTCAGTGACTTTATAGAACATAACCACTGCTAATAAAGATAATTATATAATATACATATATTATATATGTAATGCATTATATATACCATAATATATAACACACATAATATATAACACACATATATACATAGAAACATACACACATATACATATGTGTGTATACATATTTATTTATATATTTAAGTATATTTATATATATTTATATAGTAGCATATATGTTTCCTAACCAACAGACCTGAAAAGTTTAGCTAAAATCATAGTGAAGCTGAGTTGAAGTTTAGGTATTAGTGATAAAGAAATATAGTTATAATAATTGTTCTTTACCTAGTATTCGAACTGTTCTCCAAAATATTTCCTTCAAATACGTAGACATGTCTGCAACTCCAAATGCTTAGTGATCAACTATCTCCTATGATTTTTCTATGGAGTAGTTCACGTTCAAAACTTCCGCTCATTCTCTGACAGCTCTGGGCAAAGCAAGCCCATTTCTGTTCTGCAGCCATAAGCAGATACTGCTACTCATTTTGTGCTTACCATCCGAACTGGTTGGGAATTGTGAAAGCCAAAACCAGAAAGCAAACAAAAATGGCACTCTTCTTCTCTAGAGATCAGAGACTGAAGTACAGTCTATAGGATGGAAAGCCCTTCCATCCTTCAACTGGCTTCCTAAGCCCACCTGCTTCCTGAGGTACTTCCCCTCCACCTCTTTCAAGAGCAGGGCCATCTTGCCTTTGTTTCCCGTGAACATTTTCAGATCCATTCCAGCCCTTATTCCTTACATTGCTCTGTTTCTTTTGCCTAAATGTCATCCTGCATAGCTTTCTGTAATCCACATTCTACCGAACGCATAAGGTCCAGCCAAAATCTTCTGTGTGAAAAATTTTTCTAAAGACTCTAGGCCACTCCCTCTCTGAACTCACAGCCTTGACTGCCTGTTGTATCCTTGAGTTGATATTCAATGAGAGACAAATTTTCCGAGATCCTGCTTAGCTACCCAGTCCTTGTCTTAATCAACTTTTTATTTATGTACATCTTGTCTCCCGAAGCTTTAGCAGCAACTGTCTATATTACTCTCAAATTGCTTCACCTATTCATCTTCACTGAATGTGTTAGTTACTATTTTCAGTCACTCAACAAATTTCTGGTAGTGGATCAGACCTATGCCCTATGTTACCAATAATTCATTCAAAGATTCAAGGCAGAACAACATGCTTAATTCACAAAATAGAATTCCACATTTCATTACCATATTTTTTCACCCTAGAAAAACCCATACATCTCTCATCAAACACATACCTGCTGAGACTCGGGGACAATCGGGCAGCATGGACTCCACTGACGTGTCTAATGGTTCTGAGCTAGAGACCCAATTACAACAATTCTGCAATGCAATAGAGACAATTTTCTGTTGAACTATTTTTAAACCAAGACAAACTTTTTAGGCAGCAGAGATTAATTTATCCTATATAGTCAACCACTAGAAGTATATCCAATTTATTTTTCTTGCACTGTAAAAAATTTTCTTATATAAACAGTATTATTCATGACCACTGTGGCTGTGGAAAAAAGTTTATCTTCGACAATTCAGCAAATTATCTGTGCTGATATTAAGAAGCCATGTAACCTTCCGTGAACCATGATGTAATATGTTTATAAGAAAAGGCTAAGATTATAATTAAGGGAAACTGAAAAGCACATCCATTTTTAACCTTAAGATGGAAATAAATACTAATTTGATCATGTGAAAGAATAGTTTTATTTTTAAAATATAGTTTTTTTTCTCTGTAATACTAGGAGAAATATATTTTTCAGTTAACTCCTTAAATATACTTTCTTTTAGTTTTTACTTCAACCTTGTTCAGTGAAGGCTGTATCAAGTAGTTCAAAAGAAATACAACCTAGTGAATTGTAGCTGTGTGTGTGAGGACACAAAGCCTTCAATATTAAAATCAATCCTGAGAATAATGATGACTTACCACTCAGACAAATGAAATAAAAATAATGTATATTCTTTCCATACATTTTAATTCTATATTTAAAGGTTGGCTTTAAAAATGTGATTAACCTCATACGGCTTTTTAAAAATTTCTAACACACACACACACACACACACACACACACACACACTGAATTTCTAGACAGATTTTATTTTAAAAGAAATCATCCTATCAATCATGTTGGAAAAATCGCTGATTGCTATTCTGGTAAACAAGCATGTATTGTGTATTTTTAGATGCTTGCTGCCCTGGTTGTGCACCATGGAATCCGTCCTCACTGTGGAAAGATCCTTGACTGGTAGATCAAGTGTCTTATTGTATTTCCTTAATTCATTCTGTCTGGAAGAAGATGTCAGCTGTGTTGCAGTGAGGAGAGAATTTCAAAGGCCCCAGTCCCCACCAATAAAGGCTGAGGAATGGCTTTTGAATAGATTTGTCAAGGCAACCCTACTGTTCTGGGACCAGGGAGAGCAGGAATAACATAAAGGAAGGGTTGCTGTATGAGATTAGAAAGTGAAGTTCACAAAGCATGGCAGATTTTTGTAAGAAACAGTAGATCAATGAAACTATTGAACTGTGTGGAAAAAAAAAAAAACCCATGAAAACAAACACAACATCTAGTAGTGCTCTTAAATGCTTTCTTTCTTTTTACATTTAAAATGGATAAAATATTAGTATTTTTATGTATTACAAAAGCTTGATGGTTTAAAGTGAATATGTATTCTATAACTTGCACTCCTAATCTTAATTAGCAGCTGAATGCAAAATTATACACTGTGAGAGTGCAGAAATGATAAAAGAAATAGGGTTTTAGAAAGCTATTTCATACATCTGAAATAAGTAAAATTAATATTACTATTGATAGAATACCATCACAGAGTTCTAGATAATGCAGAAGATTAGCACACAATTAGCCAGCTTTTATATACAATGTGACACTTGCTTGTAAGAAATAAGTATTCTCCAAAGCAGTGTCAAGATATGTAAATGGATGATTTGTTTTATCATTCATCACAGCCCCTAATAAATTCAAAAATCATGACTTCTATAGGTACTAAAAATAGGCTCCCAATGATACAGGGAGATAGCTTCAATGAAGAATGACTTTCTCTTTTTCTCTCTTTCTCTTAAACAATTCAGTCTTTTCAAAGACAGCAATTAGCACTACCAACAGACAGGCAGCGATTAGGTATATATTTTAATTATTATTCATCCTAGTAGTACCTCCAAATCTGATGAAAGTCGGCTATTACCCAGGTGATATGTCAGTCTTGATACTGCTCACCTACACTTCACATATGTAAAACTACGTCTTATAGGATATTTCTAGTATTAATAAAAATGATGGTACATTACAATATGTTGGCGATTAATCATTTTCTAACTCGTTATTACTGACTTTAAAAAGCTGAATAAAATGGGGCGCCTGGGTGGCTCAGTTGGTTAAGCGACTGCCTTTGGCTCAGGTCATGATCCTGGAGTCCCTGGATCGAGTCCCGCATCGGGCTCCCTGCTCGGCAGGGAGTCTGCTTCTCTCTCTGACCCTCCTCCCTCTCATGCTCTCTGTCTCTCATTCTCTCTTTCTCAAATAAATAAAATCTTTAAAAAAAAAAAAGCTGAATAAAATGGATTTTATCCAGGTCACCTTTAACTCAAACATTTAAAGCAAAAGATAGGTTAACATTTATGATTCTGAAATTTTCACTTTTTATCTAGGCAGATGTTTAGGCTTTGATTTCTCATAAAAATAGGATCGAAATAAACATCCTATAAAGTGAATATGTCCAAAAGTTCTCTGGAATGACAGAGTACCTGTGCAGGATTGTAAAGGCTTGATATCATAAGTCTGATGAGTGTCATGTACATGTGTGTACATGTATATGTAACATTTTTATCCCACTGGGAAAAATATGTAGAGAAAAGGGCAGAACAAGATAAAAATGTTTGCCATGTGACAGAGTATAACAAAATAACATAAATGTGCTGAGAAATACATGTAAAGAAAGAAATATGAGAAAGACTTACAGCCCATACACATGAATTCAATCTGTCTGAAATTCCATCATATCAAATCCAACTTCCTATTCTGAGATGCATTTCTATAGTTTAAAGACCAAATCTCTTTTACTGTTTTTCTAATGTTTATTCTATCCCTCTTCTCAGTGGCTCAATTTGCCCCCACCCCAGTTCTTCAGTTGAGATGAACACTAGCGTAGTGTCCAGGATGGCAACAGAGGCAGCGGACTAGGAAAGCCCGACTTAAATTCAGAAGACGCTGGAGTGTGTTCCCAGCCCCTGGAGATCTTATTCTCAGGTGTCCTGAGCAGACAGCAAGGCCTGCTGTACTACAGATATCAAGAGAGCATGTTTGAGCCTCAGATGGAGCCCTGCCTCATCCCAACCAGCAAGCAGAGAGAAAGACTGCCCTTGGCCAGAGCCAGGAATTTGGGGAAAAAATGTGCAATATTGAGAGTGTTTCTTAGAGTTAAGTGTTCTCAATTTAAAGGTCTTTTAGAACTCTGAAATTAGGAATTTATAGGTTTTTGGTTTTTTTTGTGTGTGTGGTTATAAATTGTCTTCTTTGTGAAATCCAAAATGTTGGGAACTATTAACATAGACTAGAAGTGCCTGTAGGACATAGTGCTGAGTGGCCCTCTTTGACCCTTGAACCAAGGGCTGACAATACTTCAGTGTAGATATGAAATGAATTAAAAAGATTAGAACTTAGTATGCTATGTTTAAAGAGAAAAAATACATAGTAGGTATCCTATACAAGGTATTTTGAGAAATATTTGCTGTCCTGATTGAATTTAGGTTCTTACTCATTTTAATTTCATTTGTCTGAGATCCACCAATGCCTTAGAGGTAGAGCTTCAAAATGGAAGGCATTGTGTCCTCAGACAAGGACAACTAGGATTCACTGGGTTGTGTTTCCGGGACTGCCATTCCCAGCTGATGATGCTGGGTAAGGGTTCATGACAGTTACGTAGAACCATACATCTGGCTTGGCTGGAGACTTTCAGAGCCCAGGGATATATATGTCAGGAAATAACATTTACCCACTCTGCTTTAAAAAAAACAAAAACAAAAACAAAAACAAACCTATGTATTTAAGGTGTACAACATGATGATTTGATACACATATGCATTGTGAAATGATTACTGCTGTTGATTAATTATTTTCTCGCATAGTTACCGTTTGTGTGTGTATGTGTGTGTGTGTGTGTGTGTGTGTGTGCATGTGCGTGTTGTGATAGAACCTGAAATCTATTCTCTTGGCCAATTTCTAGTATTCAGTACAGTGCTGACTATAGTCATCATGCCATACATTTAGACTTATGCATCCTTCATAAATGCAACTTTGTACCCTTTCACCAACATCTCCCTATCTACCCCACCAGTAACCACTGTTCTATTCTCTATGTATTCAAACTTTTTAGGTTCCATGTGTAAGTGTGATCATGTAGTAGTTTTCCTTCTGCGTCCGGTTTTTTATTTCACCTAGCATAATGTCCTGCATGTCCACCCTTACCCACTTTCTAGTCCTGGAGCTGGAGGAAGACGCATCTTTTAGGGTCTGCCTTAGGCTACTTTTTAACCTCTCCTCAAGAGTCATGGTTAAGTTTGTATCCTTGGTCTTTTGCTTGGAAGTAGTTTTCACTCAGCATAATTGCCAAAAGTAGCCCTCTCTGACCTTCTTTCTTTTCTTTTCTTTTCTTTTTATTAAAGATTTTATTTATTTGACAGAGAGAGACACAGCGAGAGAGCGAACACAAGCAGGGGAGGGTGGGAGAGGGAGAAGCAGGCTTCCCGCCTAGCAGGAAGCCCAATGCGGGGCTCGGTCCCAGGACCCTGGGATCATGACCTGAGCCGAAGGCAGATGCCCAACGACTGAGCCACCCAGGCGCCCCTGACCTTCATTCTTTAAAAAAAAATTGTTATTTTAAAATTATGTAAGTAATGTAAGAATATAGTACTTAACCTTCTTTCTGTATGCTAATTGCTGAAATTTAAAAAAAGTAAATCAGCTTTTTATAGTAGATGAATAGTTAATGTTGATACTTTTATCACATTAACTTAAATATGCTTATAAAACAAAAAGCAGTTTTACTAATTTGAAGTATAAAGAATGACTGGGCAATTTGTACCTTGTCCTACTCCCAAATTTAAAGTGGTGTTTGGTCAAATAATGGAGCTAATCATTAAGAGGCCCAGACTACTATTTTTATGGACAACATTACAGTTTAGCTAAGTTGTTTTTCTTGACATAGTTGCAAAATACCTCAGAAATATGAGCTGATTCCAACTAAAGCCGGAGTAGGTGGTGGTAGGAAGTGGGATGGACACAAAAGTTACCCTTTCACACTCTTCTCCCAACACTCATGCTCAAGACAACAGTCCTTTCTATTTACTAAACCCAGGACTGTTTGTTCTTCATTATTTCAAGGGGTCTTGCAGAGTGGACAGAGACTAAAAATGGAGAAAGAAAAGGGGATGGAGTTTTATCCTAAGTGCTGGGAAACAAACACTAGATTCTTATCTTGCCAAACCATAAAATTCTCTATGAGGGGGTCACACATTTAGGTGAGGTCCGACAAGGATATCTGGCGTAGGCTCCCATAGTCTCCCTTTCTGTTCTTGTTTTAGAGAGGCTCTCTGGGCAGGGATAATTTCAAAGCTCCATCAACAATGACCTAATAATTTTTATCTCTGGGATATTATAGTGTTTTCTTTAACAATGCATTTTATTTTTTTATGCAGTTCCATTTGCTTTTCAAGGGATTTTCTTCTTGGTTGTCACCTTTGATTCTCATAATAGTTCATGAAGTAGATGGAATAGGAATTATGATCTCTAACTCACAATTATGAAACAGGCCCAGAATGATGGAGTGGCTTTCCCAAGACAATAAGCCTTAGTGTAGAGTACCTGGTATGTGTTAGATCTCAGTTTTCATTTACCTAGTGAGTGATTAACCCAGAATCATTATCAAAACCCAGTTCTTCCAACTCCTTGCTCTGAATTACTACCTTTGGGTAAGATATTTTGAATATGCAAATCATCCATAAAACAAAAGAATACAATCCATATATTTTATGTTACTTGGGGGCAAGAAGGTAACAACAATGAGAGCTACAATTTATCAAACTTCTTTAAAATGCCCACGTCCATGCTGTTTCTTTACATATGTTATTTCCCAACCATATCTGCAAGGTACGTATTAGAGTTCATAGATGAAAAAACTGAATCTCAAAGAGATTAAACAATGTACCCAAGATTACACAGTTAGGTAAGTGATTGAGTTGGGGGTCTCCATTTTGGTATGTCATAATAAAAAACTCTTCATGCTGTTTCATGCCTCAGGCATAACTGAGGGAATAAAAGAACTATTCAAGAAGTAGGTCATTTATAAAATTATATAATATTAAAAAGATTTATAAAGGCTATGCTTGCAAAGAAATTAATGAGAGCTTTGATTAAGATGAATTCAATATTGCCTATTTCAGTCAGACGAAAAAATGCAGATTAATATATTACAATTTTTGAAGGCGGCATCTAATCCAGTCTTAGTTACAGAGGGTTAAAGAAGCAAATCTACTACAGAGAGCAAACTGATGGTTACCAAAGGGAGGTGGGTGGGGGAATGGGGAAAACAGGTGATGGGGATTAAGGAGTGCACTTGTCATGATGAGCATTGGGTGATGTATGGAAGTGTTGAATCACTCTATTATACACCTGAAACTAATATAATCTGTACATTAATTAACTGGAATTTGAATAAAAACTTTTAAAAAGAAGTAAATCTAAATAAATTTTGTTATATTTGTCACCTGGAATGAGACATGAAGAATTACCAATTCAAAGATGATGAACAGGGATATTTCTAGTTTGGGACAAATACTAAATTCCATATTGGTTATATGTGGGGAAAAAGGTGCATTTACATAATGCTGGGTGCTGTATACGTATTCTCGTGACGTATTACGTGTTTCTCTTGAAAAAAAAAATAGGCCCATGGAAAAGACAATTAAGGATGTAGAAAAACTGTGAAAGAAGAAATATGAAAAGCGATGTGGTCAGAAAACACCTTAGGACAGATTAAAAGCCTACCTTTATATATTTATAACATTATGAAGAATGGAGTAAATATATTTTAGACTTTTGCATGATGCAAGTACTTTTTCTAATGGATAATAACAACAACAGTGAAAACAGACTGGTAATATTATGATTATTCCATTATGGGATTATGCAGCTTAGTCCTTCTATTTATTCGAAACTCTTTCTAAACGTTAACTCTCTGGTCCTTTCAGGGCACCGTAAGGGCTGGTTAGAAGTTACCCATCATACGTATGGTGAGAGGCAGCTGGATAAATATCTGGGTATTCTATCAAGAAAAAGTGGGAGAAAAATCAGGAAGGTCAACTAGTTCTCATTTATAGAAATATATGGTTTGACCAAACCACTGATATAGCATGGTATGGATGATGTCAATTGCTTATAATATTAGAAAGGGAAATATAAATAAAAAATAAGTTTCAGCTGTACATCTATAACCAAAGTAAAAGAAATAATGGGTTGAAAGTTTAAAAAAAAAATGGGAGCATGTTCAATGAGTCATGATAGTTTTCAGGCTCACTAGCCCTTAGGAATGGTGAAAAGAAGCTTTCTTAACTTGAGGCTGGGCCATAACCAGCCCTTGGGTTTCTCAAGCCCCAGGTTCGGTCTGGCAAAACACTATTTCAGCTTTTTACTTCTCCCCCTACTGGCAGTAGTGAGCCAATCCATTTAAAGGTGGCGCGCACTGACCAAATGGTACTTTAAGCTTCTTTCTTGTCACTGAGCAGCACCAATGCTAAATAGCGGGTGGAAAAATTAAAAAGCAGGGAATAATAATCTCCTAACAGATCATGACCTTCTTCAGCCAAAGCTCCTACTGTATACTGCATGCATACATAACATTCTACAGAATGCCCAAAAAAGGGAGAAGGGCTTTCAAAAACGTATTTGTTCTTCAGAAGGGTTTTCTATTATTATTTCAACCATGTCTACTTTGTTTTCCTCTCTCTAAATGTTCTGCCTCTAGAAAGGAAGTTTGGGGGCGGGAGGTGATACAAGTTGGTGGGGGCTCAAGATATAAAGGCTCACACTCATTCATCTCAGCGTTGAAAAAAATCTAGTCTCACCTCTCTCATCCATTCTCGAATCGTTTTGCCTGCTTCTTGATGCCACACATTGTGAACAGAGTCTGTCAACGCCACAGCAGTTACCTTACTTTTTACATCTGCTTCTCGTTGAATCATCTGTTTTAAAAAAAGAAAATAAAATATTGGCTATAATTTTTTTCCCTACTGGGTGCAACCTGCTTAGTCATAGATAATAATACACTAAAACCGAAAAAGCAACATGCATCTCTTGTTCCAAGTTACTCTTTTCTACGCCGAACGCATGCCCTGTTCCTGTCCAGAGATGTGAAAAGACCTAATATTTTCTTTTAAAAAGATAATACCACTTAAGTCTCAGAACTACGCAGCTCTATTATTTTCCATGTGGTTTGACAATTCAAGGATTAAAGGGATCACAGGGGAAAAAAGGAGGAATCCCTGAGGGTTTCTTTTACAACTTTTTTCCACCCCTTCCTATTTCAGTGCTTCAGGGAAGTTAGTACCCGGGGCTCACTGTTAGCTACTTAGGACTAACTTCTACTTCTTTTCAGTAGTTGGCATGTCAGTAATGAAAGATAACTTGCTTTGACTTCTCCGATTTAACTAGCCTGCTCTTCAACACGGCCTTGTAATTCCTTGGTGTTTTAAATGCCCACAAAGATCTTTCTCTTCAAAGTCTATCAATATCATTTTGCTTTCTAATATATTTCTTTATGTCGGCAAGCTACAGTATTATATTCTAACTTCTTTCTTTAGAATGCTGTTTCTATAAAATTCAATGGTTCTAAAATGTAAAAGAAAGACACGTGGCTTGAAGAAACTGAAGAATTTATCAGTGGTCTGCAAGATAAAGAAAGCGAAAAATTATAGTTCCACATCAAAAGAATCATAAAAGGTTTTAATCTGCTAAATGAGGGACTCTAATTTGACACAAGTAGACGAAAGCTTAATACAAAATTACACTTAAAATACAGTATGTAGTAGCCTTAAATTTCATAGCCATGCCTCTGCATCAAATGTCTTTTCTCCCTCTAGAAAAGAGCAATTTCTCTATCATTTGCTATTAATTTCTCTAAATTGTCTATCAAAAGTATATTCCTGCGTTTGAAAAAAGTGAGAATTCTGAGTGGTGATGATAGCTCATACAGTGAACACTGAAAGCCAGGCTTCTGATACCAAATGATGCCTGTTGGCATTCTGAATGAAAAATGTCTCTCTCTCTTGTAAATTTCTTCAAGCCCTGCATATGCACATCCCCTCTCACTGAACACCACCTAATGGGAATCTAATTCACTGTTAATGCTGCTTCAGCAGAATTTCCACACCTTAAATATTTGGGCCTTTTGTTTTTTGCTTATAAAATGTGGAAATCTTAAAATCAATGTTGCTTATCAGCATCATAATATTACTGCAAAAATTCACCTTGCAATATCAATAATATTTTTAAAAGCACAAAATAATACTCTAATTCAATACTTCACATTCATTATTAAGTAGTTTGCTACCTTCTCCTAGATTTTATTTTAAAAATAGATTGTCATCCATAATGTCTCAAATGTCTCAAATGTCTCATCCATTTGAGATGACACGGATGGACCTGGAAGGTATTATGCTAAGTGAAATAAGTAAATAAGTCAGACTGAGAAAGCCAAATACCAAATGATTCCACTCATAAATGGAATCTAAAAAATGAATAAACAAACAAAAAGCAGAATCAGAACAATAAATACAGAGAACAAACTGAAGGGAGGGGGTGGGGGGTTGGGCAAAATGGACGAAGGGGAGAGAGATACAGGCCTCCAGTTATGGACTGAGTAAGTCACGGGAATAAAAAGCACAGCATAAGGAACACAGTCAATGGTATTGTAATAGTGATGTAATGGGACAGATGGTAGCTATCCTTGTGGCGAGCACAGCATAATGTATAAACTTGTCAAATCACTAAGTTGTACACCTGAAACTAATGTGACATTGTGTATCAACACTACTCAAATTAAAAAAGATAATAAAAAACTAAAGCTACCTTAAAGAATAGATTGTCATGGATCACGTTGGCACTAGAATATAAAAATTTAAACCAACATTTGATAATAAAACTCAAAATTCCGCAACAGTGAGTACACCTGGCTCATGAAGAACGTACATGTCCTTACTCTCATTTTCTAAATAGTAACACTTTTAGAGATCTAGAGCAATTGTTGCTAAAGTTACAAAATAAGAGCATGCTCTTCTGGTATTCTAAGAATATGTCTGCATTTTTAAATATTTGCCTGGCATTTTGTTGTGGTTGTTAACATACACTGACTTATGTAAGCTGGTTGTATCTGAAGACACAGAATATTGAGAGCCATTTGTGAAATGGTATCAAATTAAGACTTGAATAGGCTGAGGATTTAGTGCAAAAGCAGAAAATCTGGGAATTGAAATTTTACAAACTTGGAAAAATATACAGTTGTTAGATGGACTACAAGAGAAAAAATCCTTTGGTCTGTTTTTCCATCTGGCTGACATTTCAGACAGTGGATGTGATGCGGTGCAACTTTTCTTCACATCACATCAAATCATGTTATAATCCAGCATGACATTCCTTACACTGTTCTAGTCCTTTACAGTTTAAAAATCACTTTCATATTATATTATTAGAGGTGGAGAATGGTCAAATTCTAGAGGATTTCAATGAAGAGCTGTCTACAAATGAACCTGTACAAAGAATTTCAAGTATTTGGGGCACCTGGGTAGTGCAGTTCATTAAGCATCCAACTTTTGGTTTCAGCTCAGGTCGTGATCTCAGGGTCCTGGGATCGAGCCCTATGTCCAGCTCCACACTCAGCGCGGAGTCTGCTTGAGATTCTCTCTCCCACTCTTTCTGCCCCTTCTGCTCTCATGCTCTCTCTCTCTAAATTAAATAAATCTTAAAAAAAAAAAAAAGGAATTTTGGGCACCTGGGTGGCTCAGTTGGTTAAGCGACTGCCTTCAGCTCAGGTCATGATCCTGGAGTCCCGGGATCGAGTCCCGCACTGGGCTCCCTGCTCAGCAGGGAGTCTGCTTCTCCCTCTGACCCTAACCCCTCTCATGTGCTCTCTCTCTCCTCTCATCCTCTCTCTCAAATAAATAAATAAAATCTTTAAAAAAAAGGAATTTCAAATATTTGACTGTTTAGGGTTGGTAGAATTGTAAATTGGTAAAAATCTTAACAGTTTGGTTTTTCAGACTATTTACCTCTATTCTAGCCTTGCTGAAACCTACTTGCAGTTTCCATTTCTGCCCAAAGCCTCTGCTTCTTGTATTTGTTAGCTTGGATCAGAGCCCTTCCCTCTCTTACTGCCTCCCCTGGGAGTGAGCACTGATTAAGAATGCTGGGGAAAAGGGGCGCCTGGGTGGCTCAGTCAGTTAAGCATTTGCTTTCGGCTGAGGTCATGATGGCAGAGTCCTGGGATTGAGCCCTGCATTGGGCTCCCTGCTCAGTGGGGAGTCCGCTTCTCCCTCTCCCTTTGCCCCTCCCCCTGCTTCTGTACACTCTCTCTCTCAAATAAATAAATAAAATCTTAAAAAAAAAAAAGAAAAGAATGCTGGGGAATGGCAGTCAGGGGGTAGACTGAACGCAGGAACCAAGATTGTTTAAGAGACAGACCCTGGATGGAATATAGAATGGGTGGAGGTGCAGCTGGGCAGGAAAACTTCTATATAGTCTTCTATAATAGTCTAACAGAAGACTATAATAATCTGGAAATCACAGAAATCTGGAAGGGAGGAGGCCATATCACTAGTCTACTAAAGTCAATCTAAGTCAATCTACTAAAGTCTAATATCACTGAAGTCTACTAAGTCTACTATATGTCAATCTAAGGTGAAGATGTGGTTTTTATTAGGATCCATGGATGTGCACCGCTTTGAAATTCCTTGCAAAATTCTGTCTGTAGATGATAGGATTATTTTTCTGGAAGAGAACCCTTAGCTTTCATTAGATTTTTAAAGGGATTTTAGTCACTAAAAATAGTAAGACCCTGGGATTTCAATGTCTCCATGTATTCTTGAATCAACTATGGAGTCCCTGCCAAGTAAACTCTTCAAACAAATAAGATCAGTTTTACACCTATACCAATCTTTCAAAAATAAAGGATGACCTTCCATTTTTTGTTTTAATGTCTTCAGTATGCTATCAGTAGTTGAATAAAAGTGACAAAAAAATTGGTATCTCAGACATCAACATCTCAGTTTCATGGCTTGATTATTCCAGACATCAACATCTGAAATTTAGTTTATCAGATAAGTTATATCTGATAAAATTATAATGAAAATATTTTTGTTTTCATTTGTGTGTATAATATTTATATCTGAGTAGCTCTTCACAAATTTCAAAATGAATACATAATCATTCTTATTTTATCCTGAAATAATATTAAAACGTATACAAAACTTGTATTATTTTTTCCATCTGTGGAGGAGGAAACTGGTTGAAGCCGAGAAACTGGTTAAGGGCCACACAGATAGAAAATGACACAACTCTGAGTTGTTCATGCTTTTAAGTCCTGTGTTCTTTCATGTGTGTCACATGGGGTCTATTTCTCAGTAATATATCATACTACTCTCACCTAAATGAACTCATTTGATTAATCCCATTTTCTTTATAGTATTTCAGTAATACAGTATTTCATTAACTTCGACATTTATTTTATTTTTTTAGATTTTATTTATTTATTTGAGAGACAGTGAGAGAGAGAGCACAAGCGGTGGGGGGGAGAGGCAGAGGGAGAAATAGAGGGAGAAGCACACTCCCTGTCGAGCGGGGAGCCCAATGCAGGACTCAATCCTGGGACTCCGGGATCATGACCTGACCGGAAGATAGGCGCTTAACCGACTGAGCCGCCCAGGCGCCCCTGACTTGGACACTTAAAAAAATATTTTAAAAATCCAAATCCATATCAGTAAGGAATGTTGAAATTCTAAAAATCACGCCAAGATAGAAATCAGTCATGTGCAAAACCAGACTATCAATAGCATTTAAAAGTTATTATTAGAGTTCTAAAATAAAATGATGTCTAGGGTAAGAGGGAAAACTACATATTTCCATAAATCATATTGATGCTTTGGGAATTAATACAAAATATGTGCTGCTGTCACCGGATATTTTTGTTTCC